AGTCTAGCTAAATTTCGTATGTCCTTATTTCCTTTTATGTCACATTCTCCAGCCCAGTGAACCAGCTTGGTGGCAAAAAGGCAGTATGCCTCAGCCTTTTTCCTGTTGCTTGTCACTAGTTTCCCTGCCCCACTGATCAAAGGGCCTGCATTCGCTTTAGCTTTTCTTTTTGCTACCGCTGTTCTTAAAGAGAACCTCTCTTCACCTCTCTTACTAGTTTCAACTCCAGCTGAGCTTTGGCTTTCCTGACTCCATTCCTACATGCATAGGCAATATCTTTGCATTCCTCCTGGGTAGCCCATCCCTGCTTCCACCTTCTATGTGCATCTTTTTTTATATCTGAGTTTAACCAGTAGCTCCATGTTCACCCATGCTGGCCTTTTGCCAGCCTGCCCGACTCTACATTGGAACAGATCATTCCCATGCTCTGAGAAGGCTGTCTTTGAAGATCAACCAGCTCTCCCAGGCCCCTTTCCTTCCAGGACAGTTTCCCACAATACCCTGCCAAGCAGGTCCCTGAACAAGCCAAAATCTGCTCTTCTGAAGTCCAGGGTTATAAATATGCTGTTTATCTTGCTCACTCCTCTTAGGATCTTAAACTACAAAAGTCTCAGAGTCACTGCAGCCAAGGCTGCTCTTGCCCTTTACATTATGCACCAGTTGTTCCTAGTTCATGCGTAGCAGGTCCAATGGAGTATCTTCCCTAATCCATCACTTGCACCAAGTAGTCATCTTCATCACATTCCAAAAATCTCCTGGATTGGTTACAGCCAGTCATATTGCCCTTCCAGCAGATATTAGGGTGGTTAAAGTCACCCATGAGCATCAGGACCTGTGAATGTGAAACTTTTTCCAGCTGCTTTAAAAAGGCTTCATCTGCACCCTCTTCTTGGTCAGATGGTCTGTAGCAGACATTTATTACAGCATCACCTGTGCTGACCTGTCCCTCTTGATTCCTACCCACAAGCTCTGTGCAGGTTAACCCATCATCTGTCCCAAGGCAAAGAGCTCCATACATGCAACTCCTTTATGCAGGGCTCAACCTCTCCTCCATACCTACACACCTTATCTTTCCTGTCTCCCTTCACTGCAACACTCCAATAACAAGCTATAGGGACCCTCTATGTCTCCACAATCCCAATGAAGTCTTAGTTCTGCAACAGTGTAGTCTTGAATTCCTCTTGCTTCTTCCTCATGATACACACATTTGTGTGCAGGCACTTGAGATGGGCCCCAAGTCATGCTGCTTTTACAGGGAAGTGTGAAAGCCTCCCCTATCATGCTGTCTGCCAGACACATCTGCTCTGCCCCTTTTGCTCTCACTTCTCTTCAGGTTACAGTAACCCTCACACCACATACCTAGTGTAAAGCCCTCCTCACTAGATTAACAAGTCTGTCTGACCAAGTGGGACAAGCATGTCTTAGCAAATATGTCCAATCCCTACTCAGTAGCCCTCACCCCTCAGAGACCTGTGGCCACAGAAGTCAAAGCCAGGCCTGCGACACCAGCCACACAGGCAAGTGTTGACCCACGTGATGAGTCCACATCTGCCTGAGCCTTTCCCCCTCACTGGTAGGATTAAAGGGACACCACCTGGGTCTCCTGCCTTTCACTCACACCTTCAATGCTCTGTAGCCACTCTTAATATGCTCCAAGTTAATCCTGGCAGCATCACTGGTGCCCACATGGAAGAGCAGCAGGGGGTAGTAGTCCGAACAGGACAAGCCAAGGCAGTCCCTTCACAGCCTCCCAAGACATCAGGTAAGGTTGGCAGATTGGTGTCTCCCTCTCCCATAGGGGACAGTTCCTATAACTAACGCATACTTTGTTTCATGTGAACATGAGGTTCAGGCTCAGCTGGCTCTGACACAACCCATAGACTTGTATAGGTCTGATTTGTGCAGACGGTCCCTACCTTAACCCTTTTCTCTTATCAGGGGTTCACTGTATGCTTTGTGTTGCTTTTTGGAATGGGGACTTTGGGGCTGGCCTTACCTGACAGTATACGAGAAGTTTTGTTGTTACTTAGAGCATCAGTACTTGTAATAACCAGCATCTGTACTTGGTGAGGTAAAGCCACTCAGTTTTCACTACATGTATTGCTGGAATTGATTAGGATGTTCAGACAACTGCACAGAACAAAAAACACACCATAAGCTCCTCAAAGCATTCCACTTTCTGCGGACAATCCCTCCAATTGCTCAAGAAGAGACAAATATGTTGTCATAAAGTCTGGGACCAGTATCGGTAGCGATTCTAAGCTTTCCCATCCCCTCTCATTGCCTAAATCCAATAAACAGAAACAAGGTGACTGAAAGATTTATTCTTCAAACTAACCTGGAAAGAGAGCAGACAATCAGATATTTGCCGAGTTTAAACCACTGTCCACAAACAGTAAGAGAAAAGTAACAGAGAAAGAGAATGCATGTGCAGCATCTACTTGTAATGCCCTTGCTAAGGAGTATTCGGGCCACAAAAGGGCATGTAAGCGGCCACAGCTTAAAAGAAAGAAAAAAGCCTTTATACAAGGATGCAACCTGAAACACCCTTAAGAAAACCAACTAGAATGGCTGTAGACCTATATACTACAGATCTGCCTACCTTCTATAGTGTTGCAGAGTTCTAAAGAGGTTTTTGTCTCAAAGTTATTTAAACTTGTCTACAAGGGTCATTAAAAATAAGTCAAAATGCCTCTTGAGGCCTGCAAGCATTCCTGAGCTCCCCTCCAATGACTAAGCCTTCGCCTTTATTGTTTTTGTTTGAAACAGAATATTAAGTTTAAAGAAACAAAGAAATGATCCTTAATTATGAAGACTCAAGATGCTTGTTAACAGGAATACCCAAGGAAAAAAAAAAGTATTAATCGACAGAGAAAAGCAGAACATCTACAGTAGGAAAATAAAAGTATTTTTAAGACTGCACAATCCAGATCCTATCTGAATGTGAAAAGGAATAGTTTTCCTTAGTTTGGGAGAGGTATTCCAGCTTTCTCTTAAATATTAAGTAGGTATAGTGAAGTATGAATTTTAATTGTCAGTAGTATACTAGAAACAGCAGCAGCCGCCTCTCTCCCAGGTCACAAGTTTGTATTTCCATACAATACTATAATAATCTTTCAGTCACCAGAATGTAGTTATTTTCTTCAACAAATGCATTAAATTTTCAAATTAAACATTGCAAACCCCTGGGTTTGCAGTCTATGCCAGTTACCAACCATCAGAGACTGTTGGCTAAGAGTCAGATTTTCTGTTCCATACCTGTTAAGATGGCTTGTAGTAAATATAAGGTAAATAGTTCATTTGGCCTTGCCTTTACATAACTGATACTGCAGCTAAAAGCCACCCCTGAAATTCAGGCTTTCAGGAAAGTATGACCAAGAACGCCACCTGCTGTCTCCCAGCTACACTCCTATAAAGCTTCTGGAGTGCACTGACATACACAAAACTCATGTTTATTTTACTGTAGGAAGAACATTTGAACAGGATAAACAAAAAACCCCAATCCTTTGCCACATAACAGTGCCCATAAGGGCCTTCAGACCTTCATCTGAGCTACTTACTACACAAAACAAAACTATAAGCAGCATTTGCTAGAAAAGTCTCTTGCATTGAAACCTAGAAAAAAATGCAGTGATTTACTTTGAAATGCATGTCTTGCTTTTCCAGCATGTTAACCATCTATTAATTGAATTCCACAACACTGGCTCCTCTTTAATTTTATGGCTCATCCTTGATTAAAATTCCATATAAACCAAGCATAATTACTTCACTGGCAGCAATATTATACTGCGTATTCCTTTTCTCTGAGGCTGTCTGCTAGATGTGCTCTGTAGTAACTTAGCCCTCAAAATACCAGGCATTCTGAACAAGCAAAACATCTAAGCATTTGCGTAACTAGACGAGTTTGGTTTCCTGAGCTTGACCCTGGGAAACCAGAAGCCAACCACACTTAAATACCCCAAATTAAGCATGTAGCTAAAGACACTTCTGGATAAAAGCCAAAGTGCTCAGCACCTTGACGCACCAAAAGCTAATTTTATAAATACACACGCATAAATCCTTTCTGGATTAACTCCAAGCAGCTGCGCAACCTGTATGAGACAAACCAGGCTTTGTTTGAAATCAGCTGCATAAATGCTAGAACTTGCTCTTTACTCTTACCTTTTTCCATAAGTGAGGATGTTACTAGTCCTCCACAAGCCTTCCAGAACAACCTCCGATATTCTATCTGAATGTTATCAATCTGTTTCTTTCAACTCACTCTTCAATCTTTTTTGGGAGCACGCTTTCATTTTCCAGTGAAGTGTTACTAGCTGTTTAAACATCAAGGTTTTTCAGATCTTTCACTGTAGAGTCCATTAACTTGAACAACAGTGAGGAATGCTAGCCAAGTGTTAGACACCTGCACTGTCAGGCAGTTCCCTTTTGCTTTGGAAGGGGACAGTAGAGCAGGGGCCTGATGTACCAGCTGTAAGACCATCCCTGCTGGTACTAATCTTTCTCCCATCTGTAAGTCTATAAAAACATACTGCTTGTTACAGGCTCATAATGGATACAGCATCCCCCTTCTCTTTCAAGAGAAAGAAATGGAGTTTCTCCTTAAAACAAATTACCAACTTAACAGTTAGCTTGAACCAATCCCAAGCGAAGCAGTAGTTAGGGAGTGAAGAACAGAATGCTGACAATAAATATTGGGAGTGAGTTACAGTAGCAGAAGTTATTACTTCAGCCGCAGTCGGAATCCAGCCTAAAACTGGGACCTAACCAAATGAGAAAACTAGGCAAATAACAAGTAATCTTGGCCCTAGGATGAACCTGCTTTCTCGCAATTAACACATGCCTGAAAATGCTCAGTCAGGTAATTTAGTAGTATTGACCTCATGTATTTGCAATGTAACAGATTACACTGGTCAAAACATCTTTTATTCCATATGAAAATGTAGTTGTATATCACAGTTTTTCCCCCAAGAGAGGCAAATACCAACACAAACTCAGAGCAGTTCAATTCTTTCATTTTTTCTTTAATTAATCCTTGCCATACTGAAAGCAGCCTTTACAAATCCTGTATTGAATTTATTTCTGGATAAAAGATCAGGAGGTATTTAAGGGTCCATATAGTGTTGGAGCTATTGAAAGAATTTCCAATTGAGGCCAAGGGGAACTGTTAAAAGTTTGTAAACTCCTGAATAACATACAAAATTAAAAGTTATACCCAACGTTCCAGAACCAGTACTAAAAAAACTACCCAGCAGTAATGTTAGTGAGTGTATAGCATGTGGTACCTTTAACCAAATCCTGTACAATCAGTCATAAAAAAAAGTGCACGCATTTCACCAAAACATGATATAAATTTCAAATAGGTAAATTGTTACACGTGTGCACACACAATTCTATCCACCACATAACATTGTTTTGTTTATTTTAGTATTAAATCAACAATATATATCAGTGACAGAAATGAGTTGCTGTCCCAGAGCCTCATAACGATACTGGTAATATCTTACTCCAACTTGCTTTAATGGCTAAGATATATCCCTGCATGGATGGATTCTCGCTTCTTCAGTGATCTGATGACTTCAAAAAAAACTTTCATATAGCACGCTCAATCCCCCCACAGAAGGAATCCTTTGAATTCTGAAGTTTGCTTGATTTAGGATACCTTTACAAATAAAAAAGCAAAATAAATCTCACAGGAGATAAGAAGGAACAACTCTGAGAGCACCAAGCTGGGGTCCAGGCACTCTTGTGTTCCCAGGACTGCTTACTAAGTTCTAAATCAGCAGGCATATGCACAGATAGCCCAAAATCACCTAGGTACGAGCCAGGGTATCACTGTTTGCAATTCTTTCTACTCTGAAGGGTGAAAGAGAAAAGATCTTCGCATATGCAGGACTAATAGTTACAAAACAACTGTTCATACTAGAACCAAGCACATTTGGCCTAGAATCACTGAAGTTGAATTTGCTCATGAAAACAGCATAAAGAACACTTTAGGCTACAATTGCATCTCACCTGCATAATTCACCCATAGCTTGAATCATGCTTGCAGTAAGCAACTTGCTAGGACTGGACCTGTATCAAGAGCTGCTTATCTTGACTGTTATTATTAAAAATACAATTTGAAAGAAGCAACACATAGGGCCGCTCACTCTGAGAGGACTTTTGTTCAGCAATCTCCTCCCAGTGAGAAAACGACCAGTCAACTACCTTTGTAGTTTTCCAAACTATCTTCCATAGTATTTCCACAATCCCTTTTGATTAAAGGAACAAACTAATATAGTCATCATTTCTGAATAGAAAGACAAGAGAAGCATAGAGCAAAGCAAGTGTCTTCGATGCCTTTCATATCTTGAGGCATACAAAATTTGAACAGTTAATGCACTTAGATATCTCTTTCATCTAGGGTCTGGACTGCATCCATCTACAATTAGAACATCACATCTGATGAACACCAAATTTTCTTCTCATGAACTACAAAAGTCAGGCCAGATACACACATTCTGTTCACTTCACCTAGGACATTCAGTATATGGAAAATCCCGATTTAAGTGTTTGAAGAAAAATTCAAACCATTCTCATCACTCCATTTCTGAACAAAAAGAAATACCCACCTTCATGGCCTATTTTCAGCATGAAAACTCAAACACAGAAGCCACATGATACACGTTTAAAACGCAGTTTCACACAAGCAACTTAAACAACTGCCCAGAGTGAAGGAAGGGAGAAGATGTTTTATTCAAACATGCTTCTTCGTGGTGGTAACTGCACTTTAGTTTATCATCAAATACTGAACTACTCCAGTAACAGATTTGAGCGAAGCGGTTTAGCAGCCTGACAGCCCAATTGTTTTTGATTTAAAAGCTTTGCGCAGTTCTTCTTTGAACTAGAAACCTGGAAGAGCATGTCGTCCAACGTGCAAGCGGTTATCCGTCCTGAAGCTTGTAGTCTGGTATAAATATCTCCTAACCTGGCGGAAAGGGCAGGGTTTTCTTCTATCTTTTCCCTGACTGTAGCCAGCTAAGGACGGGCAAACGACATACAGTTACATGTCAGCAAGTGACTATATTCCAGACAAGCATTCACTCAAAGAAAAGAGAGGAGGAGGAAGGAAAAAAGCCACATAACATAAGATAAGGCTGACGCAATGATTTGTAAGAGGTTTTTAAGCAACACACATTACACACCACCAGGCAATGGTGGACATGCAGTAGATACCAATTAGAGAGAGTTTATTAGATTAAAAACTTCCTCAAAGTAGCACAGTCCTATTTTCAATCCTAGTACAGACTAACACAATTATTTTCTATTTAAACCCAAGCAACATAATTGCTTCCTGGAATCTGTCTTCCAGATCAGCATAATTATTTCCATTGTATTATCTAACATACTAAATTTGCAGTCCTGATCAATAAAAGTCATACTCCAGAATGCTGAAAATTTCAATAAACTGCCATATATACAGAGTATGAACTCATGTATGAGTGAATCTGCTAAACGTTGTTGTTCAGTAACCTATTGTAGAAGGAGGGGTTAAGGCTAATGTTTAGTTTTTTAAAGTGTTATAAATTTGCCAAACAAATCAAAATACAACACTGACACAATGTCAATTGCGACAAAGTTACGAAACCAAATGCTTCTTTAAAGAATTTCTTTTCAAGGTAGCAGCTAATATATATAGGCTGAATTTTGAATGGCATGCTCCCCTCTTCCACCTACTATTTTCTATGTCAGTTACTTTGTTTAATAGGCAATGAAAGGATATATGTTTAAGTATTAGCACAGTCTTGCATCTTACTCCATACATGCATTCAAAATGAACAAGCCTAACACATACTAACAATTTTCAGGAAAAAAAAAAAAAAAAGCAATGATGCCAAGATGGCTTCATTCAAAGCTCATCACATGAATCCCAGTCTTCTCAGGAATCAATACTGTAACAGCAAAAGTTACTACTTTGCATCTAACGCTTCCCTGTGCGGTATCTCATAGGTCTTAACAATATCATTATGACCAGAACTCTATTCACATTTTGACATCAAATTAACACAAAAGGCAAGGGATTATTTTATCTACTTTCAAATGAAATTTGAGCTTCTAGGAGCAAAATCCACAACAGAAAGGGGAAGCAGCCTGCAAAGGGCTTTGTCCAACTGTTTGGTAAGCCAGACAGCTGCTTTGACATCTGAATCCATCAGAACCCAAACAACTTTAGCAGGATGAACTTGGGCACTTGAAGTTCTGTAACTGAACAGCCATCATCCTGGTTTAGCAAAACATCACGGATCTCCTCTCAGGCCTGTATCCCTGACCTGCGTGCATCAGTGATGCCATGCTTTCTAGCTGATTCAGTTCATTATCGTGTACTCACCACCTGCTCAGAAAACTCAATTTTTTTCACAAAGGGTGGAGTATCTACTTCCACCGCTGCCTCTAATGTCTTCATTACTTCTTCTACTGAACCGGACTTGAGCTGGACAAGAACCTGAAAAATAAGACAAAAATCTACCCCAAGCAAACAACATTTATCATCAGAAAGCAAGCTTTTTTAAAGAAAAAGTGTTAGAAGACAATATGAAGCAAAGCAGGAACAAAACCTATTTCTAGATGCTGCACTGATAAAACATTGATCATGAAGAAGGCAGAGGGAATGAATGATTTCCACTGGTAAAATTAGTTTATTTTTTACAGCTGGAACCTGGAAAGGAAGGGCCAGCCTGGAGGCAGAATTCCTCTGAAGGAGTTGCATTAACTGTTCTGGAACTGTTCTATAGTTTGTAGAGATCACTTACAGGAAACACAGTAGACTCTCTCAGGTTGCAGACCATGCAACTACAGAAATAATTTGTTGTATGTACATACATAGTTAAGGTTCATAGGGCTGAAGCAGGCCTGAAGTGAGCAGAGCAGAGCCAAGGAAGACATTTACTTGGAGTTGTGCTGTTTTCAATCTCTTTTTACCAAGAGGAAAAAAGTTATAATGTCATAATTAGAAAGTTTTCCCAGGTCTATATTCATTGATGTGGGACCAGTCTACTTCCCATCCACAGTAAAAAGTAAAAGGGAGGAGCAGCAGATTTTTTTCTTTTAAATCCTAGCGTAACTCATCTAACTGACAGAAATTGTCTGTTGGCAGGCAAAAGAAAGCTCAGTAACATTACTGAAATACATATATGCTACTAAGAACCTGGCCTTCTGCTACTTTACACTTGAGTTGTTTGTCCAGTATAGCCTGTTTTTCTGTATAACTCCAATATAAAGCAAGCATACTCACGCTAAGATTATTGTATAGTTTGTTTTCCGTTTTCATTATCTGAGAATAATAGAATTGGGCTTGTGCCACATCATCCTAGGAAGGAATCAGAGATAAAAACAAACAGACAATTATACATGTGTGACATACACTTTCATAATAGAAGTTCAAGAAAAATGAGTTCTTACAGCTTGTCAGAGAATCACAAAGCAGTCTAAACCTCTAAACCCCCTTCACCAAAAATTCCCATACAGCACCCACTCTGTAGAAGGAACACCCCATGCTGGGGTTCCCATGCTGTCTGGCTCAGTAACCCATCAGACAGTATTTTCAGATCTCCGGTTCAGCAGGAAAATGAAGCATGTTACCAATTCTGAGCAGGAAAACACCTAAAAGATGAAAGAACTACACAAGCTCGGAGTCTAGCGCATGCTAGAGTACTTACATGAAGTGTAGTTTATGTTAATACCGGTTATTTCTGTTGTCCAGAACTTTTTAACCTTTTGGCCATACTCCTCTACCGTATCTATGACATCAAATGATTTGTCTAGACAATAAATGTTACACTGACATTTACTAGACCAGCATTAGATACCTGGGATCAAGACATCTTTCTCATAGCAAGACATGCTGCCAAAGCCTATACAGTTCAGAAATAGTTAAATGTAATCATTCTGTTTGCAAAAAAAATTTTTTTTACCTAATTCTTATACAAGAGAAAGGCATCAAGGATTTCATGTGTTTTATAGCTAGAGATTGTTTTTTAACCTCAATACCAATGAGAAGCCCCATCATGCTACATGCAAATGAATAAATTAATTTTGATGAAGCTGTTGCTCAGTCTTTACCATTCTCAGAGACTATGCAAAGAGATCATGAAATTAACAAAATATATAACAATGCTATTTCATGAATTTACATCCATGAACAACATCAAATCACTAGGTCTTATAGTGCCTGTGGAGAGACTTTCAGACAAGAAGCAGAGTGTTTAAAATTTGCTCAAGACATACAAATTAATGGGAGAGAAAAAGATTAGACTTTAGGATTTCCCAATTGTTATTCTCCTGTCAATCTTTCCCCCTGTACTGCCTCAGATCCTCTTCACAGCAAGGTTTAAGCACAAGTTGTATGGAAAATCTTACCCTTTTGCGGAGAATGATATGCCATCTCCCAAGCAGCAGGGCAATACACATTATAGCCTTTAAACATGCCTCCCCAAATAAACATTTTGAGGCTGACTATACAAATACTTTTAGTTATTTTTATTTTATATAAAGGAAATCACTAAACACAGCAGCATTTGCAGGACTGGGTCCATGGATACATCTAAACCTGCTGGCCCAACTCTTCCATTTCAGAGAAAATTCTGCCATGTGACACTGTCAGTGGCACAAAATATGCCTGTGCCTTAGACTCATGACATACAACTAGATTTCAAAATTTCCATATTAACTTTGTGTAAGAGTTATTACCACCCTAACTCTTTCAGGGGCATAAAAATTAACACACTTGAAGTGATTGCATAGATCATTTATGCCTCTTCAATGTTTGCTTTCTTTTACTATCATATTGCAAGGTATGCATAAAGATTCAGGAATAAACCAAAACAAAAAGCACTGCACCTGTTTCAAAGCAAACGCCACAGCAAAGTAGAATGCTCGTAGTGGTAATGTGTCACCATTTAGCTGTGCTTCTTCAAGCAGCTTTGCAGAGATTTTGCAAGACTCCAGGCTGTCCTGTGTAGAAATTTCAATCTAAGCTGCAGTAGTTAATTCTGTGATCTGAAAGGGCTGTAGGCAACTGTAGAAGCCTAGGTTCACTGCATTTAGAAGACAATGCACTGCAAGATCAGTAAGACAATTACTTCTACATCTGAACTCAACCAGCACTTCGAGAAACACAATACCAAAAGATGTTATTCAGTGCTACAGAGTTCAGAAGAGGGTAAAAGTAAGTTCCATTATTTTAATGCAATAGCTATGCCTTGCCCCGACTGTTTCAGCTGCTAGAGGAGATAAAACTCCTGGCAGTCTGCTAAAAGCAACAGATACTTTCCTTTCCACTTTCCTATCATTCCCAAGTCAGTAGGAAAGCTAACTTCCTCCTCCTTTTACTCTAGCACCTACATTCGGTAGTTGATGAAAAAATGTTTTCTAAGCATTGAACTATTTATATTTAGCACCATTAACCTGAGAGATCTGAGTATGTACAGATTTGCCTATTTATCAATTTTGAGCCTGACTTTATGTAATAAATCTTACAAAGATGTTTCCAGAGCAGATATTCTAATGAAACAGCTTAGATATCTACCTGTTTGCCAACATGGAAAGTTTGCATTATTTCTGGAAAGCAAAAAATTGCATCAGTGTTCCATCTTCTCTTTCACTTTGCAATCAAGTACTCCAAAGGTCAATATTTACCTGCACATTTAGCATTATGGGCTTAAGTAATCTGCAAACTATTGTTGTGAATGACATACCATAACAACAATAATGACATTATTTTCAATAGGAGTCCATAGTAAAATCTAGTGAGTTTGCTTGTATATTGTCTTACAAACCAATTCTCAAGAACAATGCTTCTCACACTGGAAGTTATAAGTAGAGCTGTTTGGACTCCAAGCAAATTAATACCTGCCAAACTGAAGAACTGCCAGCAGCAAGGTTTCTGAAATAACTGGTACCACTGTTCTGGATCACAGCCCTCATGTTCCTTCCTATTATTTGGTGTCAGTCTGTTCCTACTGTCCAAAGTGTCACTCCTGCAAAATATCAGCCTTGTCTTTAGGGATAAGGTGTTCCTTAGTGTGTTTAAGGGATACTTGTCCATTCTACTGCTGGATGGCCTGTACAACTTGTGAAAACACCTTTTAAACCACTAGAGAAATCCCACAAGTTCCTTGAAAATTTAGAAATACTCTGACCACCCAGGGACCGAGTACTATTACATACACATTTTGTTGCCATCAGAAGGCCTGCTGCCATTTCCGGCTCTAAAAGGATGGCCGTCTGTTTACCTTAGAGGAAAAGTGCCTTATGATGATTTAAAACATCCCAATAATTGACCTCAAAAGCACTTCTGTACAAAGATTAAACATTAACTCCTCTGCTTATCCACTAGGAATAATCACAGCTTTAAGCCCTGTACATTTTTGAGTTAGTCCCTAACACAGTTATTCAAAAGAAACCAAGAATGAACCAGGTACAAATTCAGCACTGCTGTTAACAATACCAGCACTATTATCTCCTGTATTCAGGTAGTTCATACTGAAACTATTGAAGAATTTTCCTCAGCTTCTTATGTTGCATCTTTAGCAAAAGCATTTTAAGCTCAAGAGTGTTCCCTCCTGGCTTGAAGTTTTAGCATTTGCCACCAAAGGTAGAATCAAACAGATTAGGCTTCTGAAAGATCTCCATCTAATCCTCTTTACTACACAAAGCATTAATACAGCTTATTCCCCTATTGGTAGTATTTTATCTTAATGTAAAAACAGATTTACTGTGGCTGTTAAGAATCATTTCCTCTCTATTCTTATCAACTAAATGAGTATGATGGGCTAGCTTCTCCGTTGAAAAAACAGAGCCAGAAGCAGCAGAAAACAAATGCCTCAGGAGCACCCTTCCTTTCACATATGCCATGGATGCTCTCAGAGAGCAGGCTATGGAAAGCACTATGTAAAGATTTTAGAGACCAACAGATGCTACAACAGACAGAGTAAAGGAGACCTCAGAGAAGCGCAGCTGGGTTCTGTGAAAGCCTTTAACTGAAAGGGCACGGTGTGGATCAAGGAACAACCCTGAAGTGCTAAGTATTGCCTAAGTTGAAGCATAGCAGCAAACACGAGCTTATAAGCTTGGTTCCCAGCACAGCGTCAAAGTCCTCGTATGCTTTGAATTTCCCAGAAAAGGTACCCTTTTAAGTAGAACTGGTAACATTTCTTGACTGACTGTAACCATTAATCTCCAGTTATTTCTAACAGCAGCAGTTTCCACAGCTCTTTGAGCTTTCTCCATCTACTGTCCCACTCTCCAAACACTACAGCCATATGACTATTCCTATTTCCCCGACCTTCTAAAGGCAGCCTCAATTCACTAGAACTGAAGATTTTAGAAGCACCATAGAAATTACTGATGGGCTACCATTTCAGGCCAACTTTTTTACATATGCATCATCAGTTTCATTGTATGCTTAACTGAGAAACTTGAGAAGTTTCATCGAGTGATATCATTTTTCCTCAGTCAGTGACTTTCTTCCTTAAAAATTGAAAAACAGTTTTCTACTGATTCAAACCTGAAGAGCAAAAGAAAAGAGTTTGGGGACCTCACTTTGCTACAAAAGGAAAAGTGCTCTAGGGAAACAGTCGTGGAACCCGCGTAGCCTAGCTTCTTACTCTGTTCTCTGTTTGATCACGGTCGAGCTCAAGGGGCAGCCTGTCTCTCACTGAAGACATTCATTTAAGTTTTCCTCCACTCAGCTGCCTATTTTCATCAGACGTGTATGAACAGATTACCTTTGCAAACTCCTTGCAAAATTTAGGTGCAATTGCAGAAACTGCTCAAGAGGTACTTGGAGGGGGAGGGAAAAAGAGAAGGGGAGATGTCTGACAGAATATATCACGTATGCCTTGTTTAAAGCAGCCAGACAAAAACAAAAACCCCACTACCGCAGCTCAAGTGCAGAATGCATTAAGATGCAGAGGTCCCAGAGAAAGAATGCTATCATTTAATCAACTGCTGTATCAAATTTGTCTCTTAGTGATCATATCTAACATTCTAAAGACTTGCTTTGTGACATTAGTTTGCACAGAAAGCTATATATGGGAACCACATCATAGACAATGAAGCTATGTATGACTAATAGGTCTAGAATATTTGCATTAGATAGGAAATCATGACAGGGAACCTATGGAAACTTTAAAACCCCCCAAAAATGAGAGAGAAAAGGCAATTCAACTGCTTTGTCATAGGACACTATGACAATACTTACCAGCTTGTAGCATATTGCAAACGCAAGTAGATAGGTTTCTTTGTTGAAAGGTATACCTTGTTCTTTCATTTCTGTGAGAACTTCCAAAGCATCTGTCAAAAATGCAGCAATGTTATTTCACAAGTTTAAGACTGTACAAGTAGTGACTAAAAAAATTCGACATGACATAAGCTTAGAAGGTCTATTTCAAAAATAAGAATTCAAATTGAAACCTGCTAATTCAAAAAACATTAATATGTCTTCAAAACTTTAAAGTAGTGTCAGCTGGACATCAGTATTGCTTCCCAGCAAGAAGGCTTTCAACCTGTATTTGCATCTAGTCCTATTGTTCTATTACTTTCCTATAAATTTTAAAGTAAATTCTGGATACTTGAGAAAGCCGGTTAGAATCCTCCCAGAGAGCAGACACCTGTCTTCTAAACACATCACCAGTCCTTTCAACATTTCAGGTAAACTGTTTAAAAGCTCCGCATTACTGCATATGCTTCACTACACCACAACACTGCATCAAGCCTCTGCTTTAGTTATTTTCACAGCGGCTCAGTCTCAACCTTCGGGATCACTACTGGACTCAGATTTGCCAAACGTCAACAGACCAAACGGTAACTGCTCAACAAATTCCAAATAAAGGCATTTGTCCCAAAAGCTTACTTCACATTGCAATTTAGACTCTCTCAGGGAAAGTCTTCCCAGTTGGGTGAAGTGATTCCCCCTTGTAATCATAAAGGGGCAAACTGATTTTAAACATTTTGCTCACATGTCGCAGTAGCCACTCTGTGCACACTACTAAAACAAACAGAAGCCTCCAGCCTGTTTTATAAAAGGAAAGAGTATTCCTCCCTGCTCTGACAAATCCAAAATTGCCAGAAAGATTTGTTGTAGAAATTCCTGTTCCAAGTTTAAAAAAGGCTTTGAATGGGGAAAACAAAAAGCCATGGGAAACTACAAATCAAAATTAAGCTTTCAGAGAAAAGGGGTTAGGGGAAAGAAAAAAAAAAAGCCCTCCTGTATAATCACAATCCTGTACTACTGTGGAGGGGAGGTAAGAATACCATTGCAGGTATATGTATATAAGGTACACAAAATATACACACACACACATATACATACACAAATATATGTGAGAAGCATCCTCCTCAAAATGCATTTGCTTTAACACACACAGTACTTACTTTCATAATGGCCCTTTTTAAATAACATAGTCATCAGAATATGGAATGATGTACTGTCAGAGAAAAAACCACGCAAGTTCTGGAAAAGAAGCATGCAAACAAAGCAAGCTTAAAGACAGTTCCTACAGAAACTGCATGCAGTGACTACTACAGCTATTGTACATAGCACTGAGAAGGTCCTCCTACTGGGAACGAGCCCCATCTTCACAAGTTCAATGTATAACAGTCTGGGCTCCCTGACCATTGCTCTGACAAGGAATCACTAGAATACCCGTGACTCAGTATGGTGAAAAGCTCAATTTAAAATTAAATTGAAATTTCCCAGAGATTTCCACTATTTGTTTTAAATGATAGATTATGTAATTTAAGTTAATGCAAGCAGAAACCACAGGCAGCTCCAAAAGCTTAGTAGATACACAGCTTCCATCTAATTAACAACATTTTTGGGGTAGACTACCATCACCTGAAACTGAAGGAATTTTCTGCTATTCACAATACCAAAGGATGAGCAGATCAGCACAAGGGCTTGAGTCATGACAAGCATAGTAGCAGAACAAAGAAAAAACATATTTCACAATCCACTCCAAACACGCTGTGCATTGGGAGAACGTGAATATCCATAATGAAATGACAGAAGCGTTAAGTCTGAATTTCTGTGGCAGCCTCTGAAGAAGAGCTACAGTGACACTGCATATTACCCTCCGTTATCTAGTACTATCCATCAGCTATTAAGTCCTGCAAGTACTATGGGACCTGTCTCAATGACACAGGTCTCAATTTAAGAAACAAAACCAAAGGCACTCATACACATGCCTAGTTTAAGAACATTAGTAGCCCGAGCGATACTTCTCCCATATTTGGCTAGGTATATCCCATAGCTTCTCGTTGAATTAAGATCATAGAGCTGACTTTCCACTGGCCCCCAAGGAGTTTTGAACACAATGTCATTGCGTAGATTTTTTCTCATGTATTAGATGCGGCACATGATCTATATCTTGTCATAATAGCATACAACACTTATACAGTGTTTTAGAGTTGCAAATAACTGTTAAGAAACAAGTCTCTGTAATATAGTTTCTTCAGGATAAAAATGGCTGAGTGCCTGAGCTGATTAATATTACATTGTCTCTACAGGGTTCACAGGGAGTTTCAAATACAGAGTAGCATGGTACATCTGTTGGTGCAAATAATCCAAGAGACTTCAGAAGACTGCCACATAAGAACTCAGAAGTGTTCATTTCCAGAAATGATCTCATGTGACACAGGATGCCAGGAAACATGCATCAGCTGTGTTCAGTTGAGGAACTATTTTTTGTTCAGTACTTTTTATTGAAATGATGCAATTATACAGAAGTACAATAAGAGTCAGTCTTTCCCTGCCCCTTTTTTTTTGGTGGAGAGGAATTGTTGTTTCACTTTACTGCAACAGAAATCGCTTCAAGAATCTGAGCTCACATACGTAGCAAACAATCACTCAGACTGGAATAACAATGAAATTTTCAAAATACATAGGGGAAGTTACCTGATCTTTGATAAGTTCTACTGCAGGTGTTTCAAGGTCCAGCTCATAACACAGCCTCATAAATAAGGGCCCAAATTTATAATCATGTAGAGCTGTAATTCCATTCTGTTCATGGTACCTATTGGGAAGGTTGCATAAAGTTAATCACATGATGTGACAATTGTGATGTGAAATTTGTCAAGGGAAAACAGCTTCAAATAGGCAGTGAGATCTGCATGTGTAATGTTAGAGGCCGCTTCTCTCTCTGTACCAGTCAATGGCATTTAGCCAAACAGCAGGTTAATTTTATCAAAAAATATTGTTTTGATTGAGCTAAAAAATGAACTAGTAATACGTAATCTCTTCTATTCCCAGTAATCTGCAGTAGATTAGTAGAATGGATCTCTACCACCAGAATTCTCAGCTACTTTACCTTCTATTCACAGAGCAATAGCACAGGAGGTTGCACTCATCTTTCCCTGCTAAAATACTTCAACTTTCTCTCCTGAACTCTGCTCTACAGAAAAGGGTACTTTGCATTTTATAATCATGTTTGCATAGCTCCTACACTGTAATTGCTGAAAAGGCTTTAATTGAGAAAACCTCCTAACCTACCATTGCTGCATCCAGACCAGTATATAACAGGGCACATCTCTTGGCTTGAAGATGCTACAGCACACATCTCTTACCTCTCAGCTGACAGCTTTGTGTGGCTCACCATTCACCCTGCATACAGTGGGATTCAAGTTCACTCCCATAACCTGACTCTCCTTTGAACCAAGAGCCTTTGAAGACTTGCAAACCCAGGGTAAAGAAGAAAACACCTTTAGCCTAAGGGATTAACTATGCCGACAGTCAGTGAATTAGGGCAAACGCTCAGCTGCAGACATAACCTGAGATGTTCTGATAAAAGTAAAATATAAAGAAAGAAAATAGTGTTACCTGCATTGGTAAAAGTACCTGTAAATAACTTTTCTGGCTAGCTCCACATCAGATGAAGTCTGACATAAATGCAGCAAAATTTTTAATTCATGTTTGAGAACCATTCCATTTTTCTTTAATTTTTCCTTAATACTTTGAAAATACAGATCTGAAAATAAAACACATTACAGCAGCAGTCTATAGGTAATTCCATTATCTGTGTTCCATACTTGGTACCTGAAACATGGAGATTCAAAGGTGCAGAAAGATTAATTTTACCACCAATAAAAAGGCATAAAGTTTCCCATAAAGAAGCATGTCTAGTTATTCCCACAAAGTGGGAATTTTCCAGATTTGGAAGATTTAGAGGATGCTTATTGTGGACTCAAATCCATTGCATATTTTAAGGAATATATCAGGTAATACAAAAATCTAAGAGGGAAAAGAAGTTTTGTAAGTGACATTTTCTGCCTTCTGCTTTTTTCTTAGTCCCACCCAGGATTCAAACTAGCACAAATGCTTCTCTTCAACACTGTAAGTATAAAAGAGTTTAATAGTTAATCATTCATAATTGATGTAAAGGCAAAGAGTCTTGTATATAAGCTATGTACTTCTATACACAGCCATAAGCATAGTGTGACTTCCCCTCTCCAGGAAAAAAAAAAAGAAGTCTCTGTCCAGGACAGTTTTCCTATGACAGAACAAGACGACAGGCCAGTCCTTCAGCAATCTCATGGCTCTGACTCAAACACCCAAGACTAAAATCACATGTACCATCTGGCAGTCCTGTTCCTCTAATAATGCTGCCCCTCTTGTGGGAGGGTGAACTGAACTTGTGTAGCAGCACCTCAGTCACTGCTGTTTTCAAGCTAGTAACCTCCACAAGAGGGGCCAGGAGAGCACCCCAATGAGCAACATACTTCGGCATTAAATGTATATCCATTGCTAAACGCAAACAGTCCTCAAGACCAAGATGCAGGACTGACTCCTGTGAGGTCAGAAGGACGTATAGGTATATATATGTGTATATTTTTTCATGATGTGTTCAAAGATGCACAGAAATTTAAAGAAACTTGTGATCCAAACTATATTTGTAAAGAATACATTATCAGAATAATTATTACTGCTTTTCCCATTTCTAAACCAATATTTATTACTAGTCCTAATCACTCCTTTTCATCTTTTCCTTTTCATCTTTCAAATGAGTACAAAAACCATGCACATAGAAGCAGGTGGTCAGTTGTTTTCAATAGTTCTCAGAGGAGAACAAAAGAGTAAACCGTGGCCCATAAAACCAAGTGTTTGGCTTCTACAAAACTGTTCCAGCCAGAGTGATTGATCAAAGTCAATAGACTGCAACAAAGTCAACAGATTGTAAGTACAGGACGAATCATGTCCAGTATGAGCATGCCACTAACACAACAAAATACAACAATATTGGCCTTGACGCTGTCCGATTCAAAGATACCACTTAAAACAAACTCTCATTCTGACTTTGCCTCCCCCTCTATCCCAGAAGACTTGTTTGTATAAAACTGAATTTGATATCTGTACATTTCTTAACACTAAAAAATTAACTGCATCCTTTGGGACAACTGTCAAAGTGAAAGGTTTTTGCATCACTAGAACACCTGCAGATGATTAAACAGCTGCAGGAAGTTCAGTCTTACCTAACCTCGTCTAATTTCTCAGGGTAGATTTAAGTTTCCTTAAAGAAAGGTGTTTGCAGACACTTTAAACCAGCATGACAAAATCTCCACTAAGAAAAACGTGCAGATCTTGCTCCTTCATCAGGTTGGAAAATATGAACTTGTTTTCCATGATTTGAGTCTATAGACACCATCTGGAATCAGATGTACAACTGAGAAGTTACATTAGACAAAAGGGACAAAGCTAAAGGATAAACTAGCTAAATTTATAGAGCGGATTAAGGGAGAATTACTAGCATAAGCCTACTGTAGACAGCTAAGTAGCTACTAGGCTTTATACTAACTTTCTCTGTTGAAGATGTATGTGAGGCAAGATTTATGGATAAGCAGTATTTTCCACCAGAAAATCTAATGGATTTGGAAGTGTGGACACAGGCATTTCAGGTTTAAGGTAAAGTAATGTAAAGTTTAATGTAATAATGTAATGTAGTTTAAAGCTCCACTTTTTCCAGCACAGCATAACTAATATTGTTTCATTCTACAAAGCCTCAGATGATCTGAACATTTTTGCTACAGCCAATCTGCAAGAGGAAGATGCAAGATGTTACTTTAAATGGGATAAATTTTGCATCATATTTTGATGGCTTTGACTGTCTGCTTGTTTCACAGTACTCAGACTAGGACTCAGGGTGATGATCATCAAATAAATACTAATACCTTTATTGCCATGAACTTCATTTCTAATTGCCACTTTTGTCTGCTGAAATTGTCGTAACTTTAAATCATCTTCTGTTAGCAGATGGCGCTTTCCTACCAGGAGAAACAAAAAGGAAGGTTAAGTTTGGTACCATACTGTCTACTTTGATAGTATTGATCTTTGCACATAAACTATTGCTGTTATTTACCATGGCAGGATAACACTTAAACAACTGTAAGAATCACAGTTGCTCATGTCACTGGCAAAAAAAATCCAAGCATCATGTCATACCTTTTCCAGTATTAATATATACGAGGAAGAAGCGTATCTGTACTAGATGTGCAAGAGAAAACCTAAAACGGAGACAGCATAACTCCTGCCTAGTCAAGCTACAAGAGGACTCTGATAGAAACAAGATCCTTCTTTCCATCCCATAGGATTTTTCTTCTCTCTTTATTCACCGGAATTCAGAGCTTCCTTTCCTCATAACTGTTGCTCCCATTATTGTAGAATGCATCATCCTGAAAGCTCCCAAGCCAATGAGGAGACTAGGGGAAAAACGCAAAGATAATTACTTGGATTGCAGTAACTCTCAGGAGACCTAGTGAAGTTCTGGCACTGTACAGATATCAGATAAAAAATAGCCACTGAGCCTATAATCTCAAAATTAACTTTGGGTGCTATCCTCAACTGCACTGTTTTGTAAGCTCCTTTAATAACAGTGTTGCCATGCCAACACTATTTCTGAACTTCTTCCTGTCATACACAGCTCTCTAGCAGTAGAGTCTACTTGAAACCAGTGATTCTGCAACAGAGAGTAACTGTAAGAGTTTACACTGCCACAATCTACACTTCTAAGGTGTTGGCTGATAAAAGAATGATTCTAATCATTAATGGACAATAGCAAGTATTGACCCAAGTTAGGTTATTTATTCTTCTGTACTCCTCTCGCTCTAAGTAGCAGGCCACCTAAATAAAAATGCTTGTTTGCTACCTTAGCCAGGCAAGCTAACAATATACTCTACAAAATCAGGGGGGAAAAATCCACGCCATGGCACCTGCACCCATGAAATTTAATGGTAACAACTCCAACTCAGTTCCAATAGGTTAAAAAAAAAAAACCTTTATCCAGGATGAAATTAACCTGGATTATTGAGCCATTTACATCCCACAGACCTTCTCAGCTGGTCTAACACTGAAAGACCATCCCTGATTTGGCCTCTTTCAAGCTGAGACAGGGATCATGCTTATGTTTGCAGTCGCACATGCATCACAAGCACTCAGCTGTCACAGGCTATCAGCAGATAGCTTTGGGCAACAGAGCTTTACCCTTCTTGAATTCAATTACGTGAATCCTACCACTTCGTTAACTTCACACCTTACAGAGTTAAAAAACAAAGCAAAATAAAGCTAAACAGAAGTCTTCAAGGCAAAAGGAGGGAGCTTGAAACAGTCACCAGCCTGCAGTGCACAGCAGCATGTGAAGGTCGCTCTGAGGCTTTATGAAGGGACCTGCTTATCTCAGATATGTCACAGCCTTCTGGAAAGGACAGCCAGTGACGGTCAGACCAAGGGTGAATCTTCACCTCTCAAAAGAGTACAACTGAGCAATACACAGACTAAGACATTTCCAGGTGGACGCTCTCCCTGCACGGGACACCTGCAGGGAGCCCAGAGGGAATAGGTTATGGGGGTTTCGCCCCGGGTTACGCTGGGGGGGGCCCTCTGCCAAACGCCTCCTGTCTGCTTGTCCCTCGTCTCGGCCTTTGGGCGAGGGAGCACCTCGACCTTCAAAACTCGGCCACAGTGCAAAGTGGCGTCAACGGGCAGATACCATCCTCCCAGAATAAATACGCATTTAAGAAGCAGTATTTCTTAAAAAGCAGATGAGGCAAGAGATGCGCAGAGAACTGAAGCAAACAATACGGGATTCACAGCCCTCGCCTTGTGGCGCGGCCGACAGACCCCTCCGCCGGGATGCCCCCTCCAAACGCCGGCTACTTCCCC